AGCGGGAGGCGAGCGGAAGGAGAGGCCGGGGGCCGGGGCGGCCGCGGGCAGATACTGGTGTTGGAGAGAAGAATCGAAAGAAACTAGCGGGGTGGCGAAAGGCAGGAACGGAGGCGCTCCGCTGAGAAAGGAGTAAAAGCAGCAGAGATAAACTACGCGAAGAAACAAAGTAGTGAAGAAAAGGGGAAGAGAGGAGAAAAAGCGATTCCGCCGAGAAAGAAGAAGGCGAAGGAACACAGGACTCCACTGTTGAGAGAGAGTTGAAAGGACAACCTCCCGACAGACACCAGACGGAGATTGACTTTAAAACCAACTCTCTCTCTCTCTTTGTCACACCACAAGGATTTGATGCCCCTCAGCCTGTTCACTTCTGTGTGTTCATGTTTCCCACAGGTTTCTCTTCCCCCAACCCCCCAGCTGCAGCCCAGGAGGTCAGACCTGCCACTGATGGTAACACCAGCAGCAGCTCCTCCTGCAAGAAGAGAAAGTTAAATAACAGCAGCAACAGCAATTCTGAAAGAGAAGAATTTGATTCCATTTCTTCCTGCACCTCTTCTCCTTCCAAAAACACCTCCTCATCATCTTCCTCTGTCATCACCACCTCCTCGTGCTCCTCCTCAGGGGTTGCCTCCTCTAACCATCACCTCCAGAAGAAGCTGCGCTTTGAGGACTCCGTGGATTTTATTGGACTCGATGTGAAGATGGCTGAAGAGTCGTCTTCCTCCTCCTCTCCTGCTGCCTCTTCTCAACAGCAGCACCAACAACAGCTCAAAAATAAAAACCTTTTAATTTCGTCAGTGGCTGTGGGGCACCATGCAAATGGCCTGACCAAAGCTGCCTCCTCTACTGTTTCCAGTTTTGCCAACAGTAAACCTGGCTCTGCAAAGAAGTTAGTGATCAAGAACTTTAAAGGTAACAGGCCATAATTTGTCACAACCTATGGGGAGCTGACGCTCACCTTTGTGTTTTGTTTTCAACCTGAAAACCGGTTGGCTTTCAAATAGCTTCAAGTATTACAGGAAATGCTTTTCTGTGGTGGATGTTTCTGTCCTTACGTAAAGGGGGAATAATGTTTTGTGATGCATACTTGCCCACTCATGTACACATCCTGAGCTACACTTCGCTGCTTGGGGCTATTTTTCAGGCTCCTTTCACTCTCTCTCTTGAGAAGGCCTTACTTAACTTGTGTGTTAGATGAGAGGTTTTACTACAGAAGTGTGTAAATCACCTTTCTTCAAACTTCTGACATTTAATAGTTATTTTCTAGTAATCCTGATTCAGGGCTTAGCATATGCTTTAGCCCAGTTAATGGTAAGTCTTTGCACAGAAAGGTTTTAGTTTGGTTTTTTTTTTCCAAAATGAGCCTGAATCGCTGTGTCTTGCCTATATACATGTTGGCTGTTTATAGGTTAATCTGCCTGTGCTTAGTTTTAAATGTTGAAACTAAGGTGATTATCAGGCTATTATGGCGGATTTCCTTTCTGGTTTCCTCACTTGCCTTTAAAGTAGGTGGTTCAGATTTTTGCTGAGTGTTTTCTTTGCAACATCCTTGCTGTAATTTTTATTATTTAACTCTTTAATGTCTTCTCTCTTGTCTTAATATATGATCATGTTGCAAGCTTATTTTATAGATTCTCTGAGAAGATGTATCTGAGATTCTGAAGTGCTACTAGAGACCAATGGAAGCAGAGAAATGACACTTTTCTGCTGTGATGCTGATTCATATTCTAGTAAACAAAAATACAAATAGGTGTAGGCAGAAAGTTTAGGTAAAATCCTGTCTTTTTTTCTTAAAAAAGTGAGGAAATCATGGACTTTTCTTTTTTCCTGCTTCTTACTGTCTTCTAAAATAGTCCGATACCTTGCTTTCTTGGGTTGTTTTTCTTTTTTTCCCAGAAAATAGTGCAGAAAGTAAGGATTAGGATTGTTTTAGCCACTGTAATGTTTTACAGCAATTCATGATCCCAGTGTAACTTTTTTACTGTAGGATCCTCCTATTTATCAAAATTGTTCTTCACCCATCATGTCGTCATCATTTAATTTATTTTAAAGTTTATATTTACGAAGCATGGTAGTGAGAAATAAATGCCACTCTGCTGTTGCTTGTTATCTTTTAAGGGAAGTCGTCTTCTCCTGTTTACTTGTGAAATGTCATAGGTTGCCTGGTGGTGTGATCATCATTGCTTATGAATTGGTATTTAAATCGCTTGGTTAAAAATGATTTCTCAGGAATCTACCAGCTTTGCTTTTAGTTTACTCTCGGATACTAAAATTAATAATTTTAATTATTGTCTTTGTCTTAGTGTAATAGCAATAACGCCCTTTAGAATTTAAGTTCCTAAAATCCAGGCTCTTGGTATTTAATACAGAGCAGCTCATTAGTTGCTAATGAGAATGGGCAAGTCTCACTTGTCGTTAGCTCTCACTTTAGATCCTTATAATAACAGGTAATTTGGGGATATTACCAATGTTATAGGAAATGCTTGGGATGACAGAAATACTTCTCTCTGTTATTTATGGATATTAAATAGATCTAACTATTTCTATTTTACAATTTATTTATTTTTTACCTTTAGTTATGTAAAAGTCAATTTTAATAGAGTGTGAACTCTGTGCCAGTTGCACCTGTTGATGACATGGATATGGCTGTGTTTTCCTACCTATATTTTCTTCCCCTTCTCCATTTGGGAACATGCTTATTAGAGCAAAAATGGCTGTTAAAGCTAGTTGTGAGGACACAAAGTATTTTAAAATAATCTTTGTTTTCTGAGGATGTGACTTGGGGGAGTCTCTCTTGGCCTGTTGTAAATTCTTTCGTGTTGTTGAAGATGCTGCATCACAGGGGCCTCTCTAGAAAAGAGGCTGAAAAATCCCAGAATGAGCTAGACCTGCAAAGCTCAACTTGAACCTTAAAAAAGGACTTAACTCTAACGAATGTCCACTAGCCAAACCCAAGAGAGAAGTAAATGGGTTGCTTTAAAATAAGAAGGTTTTTCCTTGTGACCATAAAGCCTATATTTTAATTATAATACGTCCATGCACATTTCTTGAGGGTTTCTTTCCAACTGTTAATACAGAGTAGAAATAATGAGCAGTAAATTTAAAAAAAAAAAAAACTGCACAAATCTGTCTTTTACTCCATCATTTTTGACTTTATATTCGGTTTCTTTTAGCTGTGCTGTTCATAAAAATGGGTGTAATGAAGACATACGTCACTCGTGCTGATTTTTAGCCTTCATCACTTCTTGAGCTGCTCAGGCACAGTCTTGTGACTTTTATAAATTAGATACTGTTGGGGCTCCAGAGGCTGGGATGTGTGTGTGAGGAGCAATGCTGAATTTTTACAATGCATTACTATTTCAGATGTAAATGAGATACTGCTTTTACACGAATGCTTTCTCTTGTGTAAGTATAAATTAAATCTAGAGCAGCAGCCCATACTTCTCTCAAAGCTACATTTTTTTTGTTTCTGTAACAGGTAAAATGTTCTGTTTCTTCTAAATACTTTCTCAAACTCTATATAATTTCTTTTTAAAGATAAACCCAAATTGCCTGAAAACTACACAGATGAAACCTGGCAAAAATTGAAAGAAGCCGTAGAAGCTATCCAGAACAGTACTTCAATTAAATACAATTTAGAGGAGCTCTATCAGGTAAGTGCTTTAAGAACAATGGTATTGGGTTTTTTGTTGGATTTGTTTGCTTAAAACCTGTTTGATACAGTGGTGAGAAATTGCTAGCTGCTTTTATCACTGAAAAACTTTTCATCAAATAGTTTCTCAAACTTTAAAATCGTCAGTAAAAATTTCATGAGACCTAACATTGAGCTTGGAAACTTTTTTACTTGCCACAGCGTAACCCAAGGTATGGTTTCGCTTGCAACAGTTGACAAGAATTAAATAAGGCAAGGAGCTGGATTCCCTTTACTATTTTGGGGTTTATGCTGTGTAGCTGCTAAAGGAGAAATGTGTAATCCTAAAACATTGATGGTTAGGTAAGAAAAAGACAATTTATGTTAAAATATAATCCTTTTTCTGAAGACAGTATCTGTTCACGATTGAGGATCATAAATAATTTAAAAAATGATACTATTTATTTGACTTGTTAAAAGTAAACACCACCATTTTTCTTCATGAACTGCATAATTTTGGTTTGACTTGTAATTTTTTATCACTGGGCATTCTCTCTATTCTAACAACTGAGAATCCAGATCACGTTCTCAGCAACGGCTCTCATTGGTTTGCTCTGAGTGTTTCAGGAAGCGATCAGACTTGAACTGCATTTCCTACCTTTTTTTTATAAGCTCCACTTCTTCTTTTTCAGCTGGATGTGTTGGGGATACTTCTCCCCCTCACCTTTTCCCTACTAATAGTGTGGCACTTGTGGTTTTAGTGGCCTAGCAACAGTACGCCTTGTTCTAGGTATTAAAAAGCTCTTGCACTTTTGACTCTACTTCTGAAGCCTTCGTTACCTGCCTAGTTGTTTGCCTTGTCCCTCTGTGCATATAGCCTTCTCCTCAGCTGTTTTTAGTGTCTCTTCTTCCTCTGCTTTCCCCTTTCCAGTAGAAGTTGCGCTCGGATATGACTGATTTTTGTGAAAAATTACAGAGAAAAGTCCTGTTTGCTTAAGATTTAGGGAAGGATAAATTGCCATTCCTTGTGGATCCAAAGAGCCTCATGGGCCAAGTTCCTCAGTCCAGTGCATTTCTAAGCTCATTATAATCTTTCATAATGTTCAGTTAATTTAAAAATAGCTTTTTTTTTTTTTAAACAGTTTGTCAGGATAATATGTAGTATTGTTAAAGTAACAATGGTATTGTTATTTTTGCAAAACTTGGTGAAACTAGTAACAAATTACAACCCACTGTATTGGCTGGTATTGTAAATTAATTTAGACTGAACAGCAGAACAACTGTTAATTAAATACTTGAAGGATATCCAAAAGTTGTTTAAAAATACAAAGTTCTATTGAAAGCCTTGCTTCTGCTTCAGTTATCACTTAAATTTTGCTCACTTTTACCACAGGCTTAATTTAATGTTACTTGTGCTCAGGAAACCAAAAATAGCTTTTTTTCACTTAAAAATCTCAATTTTAACATTGTAATAACTTAAATACTTTTGAATGAAATAGAGTGCAATTGAGGATGAAATTTTTCTTTCTTTATAAATCTAAAAATAAATGTATTGATTTAAAAATAGCAATAGAAATCACTAGTGTTTTTTTAAAAGCTACCTAAAGTAATGTCATTTCTGAGCAGCTGCTTTGTAAATGGATCTGGTGTCTGGCAGACACCAGGATCCAAGCAGTGAGAGGAACTGTAAAAGAGTCAGCAAAAGTTCTGCTGCACACTTCAGAATGAGATACTTCTTTTTTTTAACGGAGTTAAGCTTCTTGAGTTTGGTGTAATTCTTGTCTGTGTTGGAAAATCCCACTAAGTAAATGCTTTGAGGCTTTTTATCTTTGTGGGACACTGGCTTCCTACTCGCTTTGCACTTCCCCGGCAAGAGAAGTGATACACATCTTTGAGTAGCTCAAGCGTTACAGAATTGAAAGCTTCTTTATTAAAATAATTCTTTATTAGAATAATTCTGCGTAGATTAGTTCCAGAAAATAGAGATCTAGATCTTTGATACCAGATCCCTAGTTAAGTTTGGTTTTTTTTTTTTTGAATGAACTTCAGAGATAAGTACTTCTGGAAAGTTCTGATTTTCAGCAGAGCTGTGTTCAGTTCTTTTTCCTGCTTTTTCCCAGCTCACAAACCCAGCTGTGGATGCTGCAATTAAACAAAAAAAGCCAACTACACGCAAACTACCCAACAATATGCGGTACACAAAGAAAATATGATGCTTTGCCTTCAGATTTTCTGACTGTCCTGAGAGCACAGATTCTCTGATCAGAAATACCTATTCCACTAATTCAGAAAATTTTGTGAACTAGAGCCCCTGAATTTGTTGGGAATTTTTGATACGTTACAATTATTGTTGTGTAACACCAGTAATTAAATTTGCAAAGTATAGTATTGCAGTAGTGATGTTTTGCTCCACAGAGCAAATCTTTGTATTTGTGTGCTTAGAAAGTTTAATCTCTTAAAGCCGGTTGAGCAGAATTCACAAAATTAAAACGTTTCCGTGGATATTTTCTGTAGAGATGTAGAAGTTTTGCACTTGATGCTCAAACACTCAAAACTAGCAGATGCGTTTAACCCTCTGGAATTTCTGATACACAAGTGCAAAAGCACAGCTTTATATAAACACTACGTTCAAGTGTGTATTAATACGTGTTAACTAATGGCACCAAGAGTTAGTGGTACACGTTTGTCCATCTGCAGTGCAGAGGCTGATTCTTGTAAGGATTTGGAGCAGCGTGGTTAAGTACTACTTGTTTTAAATGACAGCATTATGAAGCTGGTGGTGGTTGAGTGGCTGAATTCACCAGAAGTTTGGTGAAATGGCCACTGGGGTCATCAGCTGGTAGCTGGAAGCGAGACCTAACTCACTTGTGACTGGCAGGTGACGAGCAAGTTCTAAAACATTCATCTTCCCAGCTCTCAGTTGGCTTCTCCGAAGTGAGGGGGAGGCAAGACAACACTCCTTTATTGTGTTTGCTGAAGATCTGATTAGGCCCTTCAAGCTTAGTGTTTTCCATCCCCTTTTTGGTCTGAAATGGAAGTAGCGGTGATTTCCTGGTTTGCTGCTGTTCTCTTGAGAGCCTGACCCTGTGGGTCCAACAGCAGAAGAGAGTTGAGCAATGTCTATCATCAGCTCTGAACAGCTACTGTAGAGTATGTTTTCCTGTCATGTTGTTGTATTTGTTTGGGATTTCTTAAGTGTAAAGGTGAGAGTTGAATTTGTTGCTATTTCCAAATATTAAGGTACATTTCAGTGGTAATTCTGGTTTTTCTAGTAATCATCATTCAGACCTGTTTTAGTCTTAATTGGCAGACTCGCTCCCTTGTATACTGGTTTGTTTCTGACCCTGAGCTTATGCAGGTTTGATTTTCTTTTCTTGTTTTCGTTTGAGGGGGAGGTTGTTGCTGCATTTTGGTTTTTGTGGAACGAGTTGGTTTGGATTTTAACTCCTCTGTGTCCTAGAGCCAGTATTAGCTGCAGTGCACTTGCTTTGGACAGTTTTTTATTGTTGACAGTGAGAATGATTACTCTTGATATTCTAGGATAAACTGAGGAACTCCTTGTTTAGCTGTGCTTCTACTTGCTGGTGGCTTCTATTTGAACTCTTGAGAAATACTCTGGGGGACTTGAGTGTAACAGAGTAGATCTACTCTGTATACTTCTGAGCTGTGCTGTCCCTGTGCGGGTGCCTGTAGTTGCTGGAGAACAAACTTGATCTTCCAGTCCCTTTTTTGCCTATGAGTTGATTGTACTGGCGACTGAAGATTTTACATTTAAAAAATAAATTAAATCAAGGCATTAGTGGAGAATCATATATGCATCCCCTCTCTAGCTTCTACAGATGTTTTACAGAATAATTACATATTGTATCTTTCACCATTCTGCAAGGAGTTAAAGTTGCTCTCCAAATTGGCAATCTGAGCGCTTGGTATAAATTTTGAAATAGTTTGAGTTATGCTTATGGGCTTAAAAATGCTTGTTTGCTTGATGGATGTCCAAGACATTTCCCCATTGAACTTTTTGCTTCTTGCTGTGAAGCACAGCAACAATTCTTCTAATACTCGATTATGAGCTGTAAATCGGAGATTGGTCACTGGAAACATCTGGAATGTAGTCGTTCTACTAAAAATTGTTCAGGATTGTAACTAAACTTACTCAGGCAAGGGGTGAATGGAGATGGGTAGATAGATAAATAGATAGAAAGAAAGAAAATATGTGTATGTATGTGCTTTTCAGGATGAGGGGAGCTTAACCAAGGAAAGGACTGCCAAAAGAAGTGACACTGGCAGTGCTTTCCTACTAACATCAGTGTGACTTGCAGAGCACAGCAGTTAATAAAATTAAGACCTTAAGTGTCTGCTTTGAAGTATGAAACCCAGCTAGCTGCTGCAATGTGTTAAACTGACATCCTTGTTCTTAGAGATGCAAGTCCTGCGATTCCTTGTGAGGTATTGGTGCTGCAGCTGAAATTAATAAACTGTTCAGGGCATGGCCTTCCTTTGCCTCTTGTTCCTGTTACAGTGCCATGGATAGTGAACCATCTCTCTGTGGCGTTTTGCATGCAGCTCAACTATTTTACAATAAAAATCTGGTAGATTTTTAAGTGAGTAGTAGCAGAATTCAATGGTTGGTTGGTGCTTCCCCCCTCCCCCCCCCTTTTCCTTGTAAAACCACATACAAGAATATAAATAGATTTCTTGGTATCTGTTTCTCTTTGCTTCAGGCTGTTGAAAATCTCTGCTCCTACAAGATTTCTGCAAACTTGTACAAACAGCTGAGACAGATCTGTGAAGACCACATTAAAGCACAAATTCACCAATTCAGAGAATATCCTTTTTTTGGTTGACAAACCAAAGTGTTTTCACCTGGTACGTGGTGGTGGATTTCTTTCACTGATTCATGACACTGGGCTGTGGTAATGTGCCTCCCTGGTTTTTTGTTTATATGGTTGGTTGGGTTTTTTTTAGGACCTCGAAGAACACTATTAGTTCCTTTATAGGTCTGTAACCATTTGAAGAGTTAGTGAGAAGGTTTCTTGGGTGTTTGTGAAAAACTTTGACATCTTATAAAAGCTCATAGTAGACTTACAACAAGGCTTGAAAAGGCTGTATTGGCTGTGTCATTTCAGACTCTTTTTTATATGCTGAATTCGCCATGCTCAGGTAAACAGAGAAATCTTCCAGCAAGTAGTTACTGTTTTCTTTTTGAGAAGTGCTAGTGGTCCAGCAGCACACAGTGTTGCTCTGAGGATCAAAATGTTTTAAGTTTGGGGTTGTATTAGATCCAGATCCTGTTATGTGGATATTAATTAGTACCAGAAATATGCAGTGAGCTGAATAAAAGTTAAAAATCAAGGATAAAATTAATCCCTTAAGGTTAGCTCTTAACATGAGCTGAAATTACAGTATCTCTGTAGTGTTGGGTCTTATATGTGTTGTGCATTATTGGTTTTTGAGGTGTGGGGATATGTACGTTTGTTCCATTCCCCAGGGATGGGACATTAGACAAAACATTCAGAAGTATTTAGATCCTTTTTTTAAAATAAAAATAAAAAATTCTTCAAATCATTTTGATTTCTCATTAGTAACATGAAGACCCTCATTAAAAATAAAAATGTTGCAAGAAGGTAACTGGTTCTTTTTAAGAGTAGGTGAGTTTATTGTGCTCTCCTTCAAGTGTCTTTAATAATGGTGTTCATTTAATTAGTAACACTACCTGGTAATCATAATTTTCTTAATGATTTCTTCATGGATTCATTGGATAGTGTCCTTTTTCTAAAGAAAATAGACAAATGTTGGCAAGATCACTGCAGACAAATGGTAAGTTTTTATGTTTTTAAGGAAAACCTGTTGCTTGTCAGCGTATGTTTTACTTAACTTTGTTCCTTTACAAACATACTGTGCTCCTGAAATGTTGTCTTAAATTTATGTAAGGCTTCATTAAATACAGCTGTATCTAGTCCTTTAGAAATTGAGCCCTGAAAATACTTTTCTGTAGTGGGGGGGTTTGACACATGGGTCTAATCTTGGACACACACACCTCTGTTGGTTCTATGCAAACTTTCTTCTTTCCTACCGTACCTATTCTAAAAGGAGCTGTTGTTTTATACAGAAAGATGCTGTATGTTGCACTGTTTATCCAGCTGAGAATGGCAGAATATTTTAAACAATCAATGTCTTAAGAAAGCACTGCCTGAAACCTCTTAGTGGGCACTTTTTTGTTGTTGAGCATAATTTGTCTTGCTCTTCAATTCCAAGAGTAAAATGATTGTGGCTTTTTTTATTTCTTCTTGTAACAGATTATGATTAGAAGTATCTTTTTGTTCTTGGATCGAACTTACGTGCTTCAGAATTCAATGCTGCCATCTATTTGGTAAGGGCCCAAAGAATAAAATGATTGGGGGGTGTATTTAAAGTATTACATGTATCTTGTTGTTTTCAGGGTGTTTTTTTTTTAATATACGCTTTATAATGACCTGTAAATGAGATGGTGAACACATACATGCTTGCTGCAGATTTCACTTCTAATTTCTTTGCCATATTCTTCTAGAATAGCTGTGACAGCACATTTCAGCTGCGTAGATATCACCTCCAGGTGGCACAGTGGAAGGAAAGGGCCTGTTCCACAACTGAAGTGCCAATGTTTGGGTTGCTCAGTTACTGGTTTAACATGCATAGTACTCAAAGTTCTGCCAGTATTTTGAGGGAAGAAGTTACCTAATTACACTCTTTTGGGCTTCAGCCTCATAGCGGGCCTCTCCAATATTTTAATAATTAGCAAGTGCCCTCCAGTGCCTTTGGCACTACCTGTATTACTTCGCCAAAGATTGAAGGAGTGGTGGGTGGAGGGCCTGGCTTTTAGGAAAAGTATCCAGAGCCACATTTTCAAATTCATGTTGATTCAATACCAAAGCAAGAGTTTCGAAGCCTAACAGTTTAGGTGTTTCAAGTACTGTGGTTTTTGAAGGTGAGAGCCTGTTTTGTACTTGCAAGGTGTGCACATACCAACCATGTACACAAAGCTTACATGTGTAAGCATATGCTGCAGTACAATATCTGCTCACCTGCGAGGACAAGCACACATTTTGTAAATGCAGACATGGTGCTCACACTGCTGAACTGCACCCTAAAAATATTGGCAAGGCACATATGGAGCATCATCTTGTTGGTAGCTGACTTCTGTGTACTATTACAGCAGCTTAGCCTTGAAGAAACGTTGTTTGACAACACGTTTAAAAATATTTCCCATTAAGCCTTTGTACTTTAATTTTTTGTGATCCTTGTCTTTCATGTCACTGAGTTCTTCTAAGCTCTGCCTAAGAACTAGAGATTAGAAAGCGATGGACAAAAAAGTCTTGCCCAACACCTTAACCATGGCGTTGGGACCCAGGATGACTTACGTTTTCTTGTGAAAGCTGCTATTTTTTCAGTTTCCATCATCCTGCCAGCCAAGTGAAAATAAAGACCCTGCAAAAGTTAGGTGGTTATTTAGGAAAAAATACATGCTTTGGTTTTTAAAATCTGTGGTTTACTGCTGATGCTTTTTCATGGCTCATGTATTTGTTCATCTCGAGTGATTTGGGGGCAGAGAAATTTGAAGAATGCCATTATTTATTTGCCTCCATTTGATCTAAATAAAATTTTATTAATAGAGTATTTGGGGTTGATTCTGATGCAATTTATTGAACAGCCTATTTTCTTTTTAGGGATATGGGGCTAGAATTGTTCAGAACTCATATAATCAGTGATCAGAAGGTTCAGAACAAAACTATTGATGGCATTCTTCTGCTGATTGAGAGGGAAAGAAGTGGTGAGGCTATTGATAGGAGTTTACTGCGAAGCCTTCTAAGCATGCTTTCTGACTTGCAGGTGAGTAAACATCTTCCACCTTTAAACCAATAAACAGCTTGGATTCTTATTTAGTGCTCAGTAAGCTTTACTCTGATTGCTGTCATGTTTCCCTAGATTTATCAAGACTCTTTCGAACATAGATTCTTGGAAGAGACTAACCGCCTATATGCAGCAGAGGGACAGAGGCTTATGCAGGAACGAGAGGTATTTTGAACGTTTAACAATATTTGGTTTGCCTGATGACAAAGCATTTGTCAGGGAGAGGAACTGTTCTGTTGCCCTGTACCCTGGCTAAGGCAGTGTGACCAGTTCCATAGTACTCTGAAAAAGGAAACTCACATGCAGTTGCCTTCCGTCACTGTGCTGATGGAGCTTCTGATGGAGCTGCTGCTGTCAGACCAGTACTGGGTTTTGTTTGTTGTTGTGGGGTTTTTTTCTTCCCTTTTGACTTTTTTAAAAACATAAAAAACTACTTTGGCATTTTCAGGTTCCAGAATATCTTCACCATGTCAACAAGCGCTTGGAAGAAGAAGCCGATAGGATAATCACTTACTTAGATCAGAGCACACAGTAAGTGCAATCTCTCTTTGCCTGGTATTGTCAGCTGTTTGATTTCTTTTGTTGAGGGACATCGAATAGCTACGATTTGTTTCAGTTATTGAGTGACCATCAAATGCTTCTTGCTTCCCACAATGCCTTGTTTACAGTGAAGCACTGTCTTAGTTCACACAGTTAATATCCTTTTCTTCTAAGCCACTAGTTATTTTGACATAAATGTTGTTGGGTGTTTCATTGGAGAAAAATAGACTGCCACCTCCAGTCCAAACATCTCTGTCTTGTGGAAGTGCAATTAATCAGCTATCGTCCTACCTGAAAAAGATAGGACCTGTGATATAGAATTCTGAAGCTAAAGGCTCTGAATATTTACATAAAATTATTTGCATATTGTTTATGGAGCCTGGGAAATTATCGACTAGTGTCGCTCTTTGGTCATCTCTACTTAGAGGCAGGTTTTCCTCAAATGCAATCAAATGGAGATCATGGCTGGTAGGACAGGAAAAACGTTCTCCTAACATGAAGCCACAGCTGTCACGTCTGAGAGAAAATGTAGGTCACTAATATAAAAAAACCTCTTCGAGCAAGTGGTAACAACTTCTTAAAGAGCAGGTACAGAGGATCTCTTTGAGAGGAAGGTGTTTTGTTGCTACTGTCACACATTTTATTTCCTTCCTCCTTTAGCTGTTAAAAACATTTAGCATGTTTAGTGGCTTCCTTTTTCCACACCATTGTTAGTGGCCAACTCCCTATATTGTCTTAGTACCTCTTGATTCGTGAGCTATGCTTTCCTTCTTGGTTTGTCTTCTCAAGACATGAATCTCCTCCCACAAAACAGAAGAAGATGTATTATTTGACAGAATTTTGCCCAATTTCTTCACTAACGGCATCATTGTCCAGCTGCCTAGAGGTTGCGTAGACCAGGCTTATTGTGTGAATTAAATCTGTAGTCAGCAAACAGAAAAAAAGATTGCTTACTGGAGAAGAAAAAGCTTAAGTATGTGTATAATCATTTGGGGTCCTTGGCCACAGATAATTAGAGCACTCCCAATTACAAGTGTAATTAATGTAATATCAAAAAAAAAGGCTTTTTTAAAAAAAAAGTATCTAAAACTGACAATAATGGAAAAAAGAAAAGTAATTCTAAACGTTTTTTTTCTCTAGGAAGCCACTAATTGCTACTGTAGAAAAGCAACTTCTAGGTGAACATTTAACAGCCATTCTTCAGAAAGGTAATCTTTCTTCTTTATAGAATCGTTTCTAACTACTGCTTTGGGGCTTTAAATTCCTGTGCTGAAAAAGAAAGTGACAGGCTCAGGTGCTGGGTGAGGAGCTACATCATTCTTTAATGCCCTTTACTACTGAGTTTGTGAAATAGCACTGAACACTTTGCGAGAGGGCAAGTACCATTCTCCTTGTCCGAGGTAAGGAGGCCCAGTGCCCTCTTCAGGTACACAACAGAGCAAAAGGAAAGCTAGAACAGCAGACTCTTTAAGTTTAGTGTGTTAAATGGCACTTTGAAGACTCAGAGGTAAAGAAATAGCCTTCAAATGATGGCTGTACCAGAAAGAAGAAGCTGTGATTGATTACTGCTCACAAAAAGCAGCTTGTATAAAAATATAGTACAATTTGAGCAATAAAGTGCATTGCCTTAGTTCTGCAATAGTCTTCAGTCAGGACTTAAATCGTAAAAGAAAATTATCACGTCCTTACTAAACAGATTCTGGATGAAACAGGTATGTGAGCATTTTCCTGCGTGTCTGTAACAGACTCTTTATCGAGAGGAGCATCAGGTTTGCAATATTTACCCATCAACTTTCTTATAACCTTGCTGTGGAGCATCGGGCCTTTTCTGCCAAGAAGTGAAAAAGTGAAAGGTGAAGATATTTCTTGAAGCTGTTTCCCTTCAAACATCTGTAAAATTTATTTTCCAGCTGGAATTGAGACTCAGAGCTCTGCCAATGAACCTTTCCTACAGATCTGTAGAACATAAACTAAAAATCTTTAGGGAATAGTAAAGCAGAAGTAATCAAAGGTGTTTTGATAAATGTTATGTAAAGTACACGTGACCGAAGATATCCAGTGCCATAACAAGGTTTTCAATGTTTGAGCCAGTTCAGGTGGCCATTCTGTGTTTCACTGTTAAATTTGGTAGCTTAAAACAAACATGCCAAACCACCACTAAGTGCTTGATTAAAAAACAATAGCTTTGAAGAAGCACCGTACTGTCATAATATGCTGCGTTTTCTTTGGGTTACTCTGATTTTAACTTCCATTGAAATTCTTTCATTGCCAGGTTTAAACCACCTTCTTGATGAAAACCGAATTCAAGACCTGTCTCTTCTGTATCAGTTGTTCAGTCGTGTGAGAGGTGGAGTACAGGTTCTCTTGCAACACTGGATTGAGTACATAAAGGTACTGTTCCTAGAACTCTGGAACAGATGCCACTATTGTATGAATGGGCTTTATACACAGATACTTGAGTCATCTCTATAAACTGTTGCATTTTTCTAAACTAAAGACTACTCTTCTGTAAACATATATTTAACAGGCAGCTTTTGAGACTGTACTAGGAAAAGTACAGTAACTCTTCTGACTGTATGGAATTTCAGTTTAATTACTGAACTCTAAATTTGGAGGGTTTGTCTTGCTTATAGCTAGTTGTGGGGCACAAATATATTTCTCCAATAGACGTTTTGTTAATGTTCGTCTTCTCCCTGCTACGGTTTGATAGAAAGAGTGGTAGCTTAATTTACCAACTGATTGAAGTTCAAAAAGCACTTGAATATGACTTGAGATGTTTCATCTTATTACTCAGTAAAAATGTTGTCACAGAAGGTATATGGTTGTTGTGAAGGAAGGCTTTGTAATGGTACAGAAGTACTGTTAAATAAAATAGAGTTGAGTGGGTGTTTTACCTGAGTAAAACACCAAGATACAGATAAAAAAGGTGTGTTAATTTTGTCATACTTTAGTTTATTTTTTTTTGACTGAAGTTCTGAATCTGTTCACTTAAAGACTGGGTTTGAATCGACATGCAAGGTCTAGGACTGATTATGTAGCAAATGTTTCATAATGCTATTACTTCTGTTGCGTTAGTGGAGTACCAGAAACAAGACATTCCAAAGATAACTTAGGCTTTTAGGAGTCTTGTCATTTAAATTTATTATTCAGGCTAACTGAGAGATATGTTTTATTTTGCAGGCGTTTGGTAGCACCATAGTAATTAATCCAGAAAAAGACAAAACCATGGTCCAAGAGCTACTTGATTTTAAAGACAAAGTTGACCACATTATTGATGTTTGCTTTCTCAAGAATGAGAAGTTTGTAAATGCCATGAAAGAAGCCTTTGAAACATTCATTAACAAAAGACCAAATAAGCCAGCTGAACTCATAGGTATTTTTCTTCAGTTTCTTCCTGTGTGAGCATTTGGGAGGGGAACAAGAGGGAGTTGCTGATGCAGATTACTGATGGGATATGATGGAATTGCGAGTTAAAAGATATTACGCACAATGCTTTGTCAAACTGAGGATCTACTGTGCCTTATTATACCAGTGGCTTTTTTGATAGAATAGCATTAAACGTCAAAAAGATGCTGCTCACTGGCTATAGAAAAGTGAAGAACATTAGAACTTGGGCATTGCAGCAGGTGCTTGGTGTCCAGATGTGAGAATACTGATAATAATTAGACTTTTTCAGAAGCTTATGTAACTGCGTCTCCAGCACATGTGCACAGAGCTGTTAGGGGCTCTGTATAGATAAGTGATTTAATAAATAAAAGTGGAGAGAGATGAGGATGCAGTCTACCTCTCGTGTTACGGTGACAGAGCCTCTGTAGTTTGCAAAGAACACTGTTTACAAATTTGTGCATTACAAGCCTGGCCCTCTGCACTTTTGAAAACCTTAATCATTTCCCCACAGAGTGACTAACACCTGCTTTGCAGTCTGTTGTGCTGTTAGGCTTGTGCAGTAATGCTTCCTGCCCTCCTTTTTTTGAAATTAATTCACTAACTGTAATGGGCTTACCAAACCATTTGGAATTAAAACAAACAGCAATCTGCTAGAGAAATTCAGCGGTATAGTTGACATATTTAAATAACTGGTTTACATATTTTTCGTCTGATCTTTTTCCTTCTATTCTAGTTATGTCAAGCTATAGCAATAGTGACTTTTTACTTTGAGATTATAATATGGACCAGGGTGTTTTACATACAAAAAATATTTTTTAACATGTATGCTAATAAAGTTAAGATGCAGTAATTGCTTATCTGAAAAAAAATAGGCTATAATGTTTTTATAACTTTATAACCTCTACAAAATGTATCAAGCTAGCTGTGATGAAACTGATTTGAAGGTAATTACAGGATCCCTTACATTTCCAAAAGATTTCACAATTTTTTTTTTTAAATGGAATTATTGTTTCATTGTGGTAGTAGGCATGTGCTAAACTTTATATTCCTCGACACTCTTTTAGCTAAATATGTAGATTCGAAGCTTCGTGCAGGCAACAAAGAAGCTACTGATGAAGAACTTGAAAAAATGCTGGATAAAATTATGATCATATTTAGATTCATATATGGTAAGTGTTATTGTGGGTTTGGGTTGTTTTTTTTTTTGTGGGAATACAGTTAATCAGTAACATAAAGGTACTTTGAAATAATTTTTGCGGTCTATCTGCATTTTAAAACGTTGGTTCTGTGTAGACACAGCGTGCTGGTCTAGTGCTGTTTAACTAGCTTGTGTGTTAAAATGTCGGTGATGTGACCTGACTCAAAATCTGTGGAAACCCTAATGTGAAGACCCTTGTTACCTTTACTGAGCATTGGGTTGGGTCTCTTGTAGGTAATGTTTGTTTAAAACAGGCAATCGATGGGCTGAGGTCAACTGTACTGGGTATAACAAGGCCAAGTGCAGGGTCCTACATGTGGGTCACAAGAACCCCCGGCAGCGCTACAGGCTTGGGAAGGAGTGACTGGAGAGCTGCCTCGTGGAAAAGGCCCTGGGGGTGCTGAATATGCACCAGCAGTGTGGCCAAGGAGGCCAACAGCATCCTGGCCTGTATCAAAGTAGCGTGTCCAGCAGGAGCAGGGAAGTGATCATGCCCCATACTCAGCACTGGTGAGGCCACAGCTTGAGTGCTGTGTTCAGTTTTGGGCGCTGCAGTACGAGACAGACATTGAGGTGCTCAAGTGGGTCCAGGGAAGGACAGTGAAGCTGGTGAAGGGTCTGGAGAGCATGCCTTACGAAGAGCAGCTGAGGGAACTGGGATTGTTTGGTCTGGAAAAGAGGAGGCTGACAGGAGACTTTATTGCTCTACAACTACCTGAGCAAAATTTGTAGTTATGTGGGTGTTGGTCTATTCTCCCAAGTAACCAGTGGTAGGACAAGAGGAAATGGATTCAAGTTGTGCCGAGGGATGTTTAGGTTGGATATTAGGAAAAATCCTTTACAGAAAGAGTGGTGAAGCATTGAAACAGGCTGCCCAGGGAAGTCGTGGAGTGCCCATCCCTGGAAGCATTCAAAAAATATGCAGATGTAGCACTTTGTGACATGGTTTAGGGATCATGGTAGTGTTGGGTTGACAGTTGGTCTTGATGATCTTAGAAATCTTTTCCAACCTTAATGACTCTATGATTCTGTGAGTGATTTGTGATCACTGTCCAATCTTATCTCTTACAGGAAAAGATGTCTTTGAGGCCTTTTATAAAAAAGATCTAGCAAAGAGACTATTAGTTGGGAAGAGTGCATCAGTAGATGCTGAAAAATCTATGCTTTCCAAACTCAAACATGGTAAATATCTATCTATCAATCTATCAGCTTACTTTCTTTTTAAAATAGTCGTTTTAACCAGCCTTCCCAGAAGTGCTGGGTTTTTCCCTCATGTAAAGGGGAATTACATGAGGGCAAAAATGTTGTGTGCAGGTCTTCAATGACTGGTGGGTTTTGAGACACATTTGCTTTCAGTTTTCTAAGTATAACAGCAACAGTCAAAAAACAGGAGCTTAAAGTGCATGGTTTGTGGATGACTTCCAGTTGTTATTCACTCCATATAAGGTCTGAAACATGAAGCTGTGAGCTAGCAGTCTTTAGTCTAGTCTTCTTTATTTCATAGGATAGGGTCTTTGGATGGGAAGAGTAAGATTTTTTAGAATTTCATCTTGTTATATCATCAAGAGACATTTTGACAGGCAGCTGCTAGGGATTAGAGTTGTCATCCAAGTGACAGGTTGCCTGTGGAGTCCTAGGATGAACAGTCATGTCCACGTGGGAAAACAATCAGTTTGCAAAATAGCTGCCACATTAAGACATTTTTTCCCCTTCTTGTTTATAACCTTATTCTGTATCTTAATTAGAATCCAGGTCTTATGCTGAAATAGGTCATCTTGCTTCAAAGTACATTCTGGTATGTAGGGTAACTGCTCTGTGGTGTTGAAAATAAACAAGATTCATTTTTAAGGTTTACGTTTTCTCTTTTATAGAATGTGGAGCTGCTTTCACCAGCAAACTTGAAGGAATGTTTAAAGATATGGAGCTTTCAAAAGACATAATGATACAATTTAAACAGGTACTATGAGAAAACCTGCTGTAGTTCCTTTGTTTACAGGCTTTTTGAATGAGTTCTTCTCAGAAAGCCTAAGAGAGGGTACAGGATGTCTCCAGTTGCAAATATTTTCACTGTAATTGAGTTAAACTTTTGAATTATCCCAGTTGTCTGTAATGTTCTTTTACTACAGAGAAAAGGATTTTGTAGGTGATTGCTTTCAAAAGGAGTGGACAAAAACCAAACTGGGAAAACAGTTTTCCGCTGAAAATGTATTTCTTAATTCTGTGCTGTCTGTGCCTTTGCAAACTTTACTGAATTTATTAATGATTTTCCTGAACAACAAAGCAAAAAACCTGAAAGAAGCAGCTTTAAAAAAACAAACAAACAAACAACCCAAACAAAAAAAAAAATACTCTCCGTAGTAAAAGCAGAATTGTAAACTTATAAAACATTTTTAATACCACTATATTTTGATGAATTGGCTTGTAAGTTTTTGCCCATTAGTTCTGGCAGTTCTATAATGTTTTGTTTACAAGCAAATTTTAACATTCTTTCCTCCATTCACAGATAATTAGGTACAACTTCAAATCAGCCTGTTAAAATGCTTCTTTTGTTGTTTTCTTCCTTTATGGAAGTACCTTTAGAATTTCAGAAAAACATATTTTCTTATCCTGATTTTCTTGTAACTTGGCGGTTTTTATAGCAAAGACATCCTAAGTTCACTTGCCTTCGGTGCTTTCCTAATGCCTGTTCTACCCAAACTATGCATAATAAGCATTGCTTTAATTCAATTTACTTTGTTTCTTTCTGCAGTATATGCAAAATCAGAATGTACCTGGCAACATCGAACTAACCGTGAATATTCTGACTATGGGTTATTGGCCAACCTACGTGCCTATGGAAGTCCATTTGCCCCCAGAGGTAATGAATATCGACAACTTAAATAGCAAGTATTGCCCTACCAGTAACGCATCTCGATATCAACTGCAACTTGGTTTTCAGTATGGGTATAATCTCTAGAAAGAAGTGCAGAAGTGTCTTTTTTATATATAGTTTCTCTTCTTTTCTTGCAGTTGTCTTCATCCTCTTAAGCCTTTATTTAAGGCTTATTTGATCCTGGAGGAGGGGAAGGAGGCTTTTAAAGTAGAAATTATGTTTTAGTGTTCTGTTTTTCTTCTTTCTTTAGATGGTAAAACTGCAGGAGATTTTCAAGACCTTTTATTTAGGAAAACACAGTGGTAGGAAACTTCAGTGGCAGTCAACACTAGGACATTGTGTACTAAAAGCAGAATTTAAAGAGGTGAGTGTATTGTTCCTCTTACTCCTGTTGGTTTGCTGGGCTGTACCTTAGGGATATATTGGGAAGGTTTTTTGTGCTGTGATGGAAAACTTAGCACTGTTTTTGCAATTGTTTTTAACTTTTGACCTCTTGCTATCATTTTTGGAGTTGGTAATTTCTGAAATACATGCATTAAGATCTGAGAAGATGCATCCGATTTCTGTATTGGTGGAAATAAAAAATTGTTAGTTACTGCTTGGGGAAAATACCCATTGAGTTTAGTTCCATATGAAGAATGGCACTAATTTTTATACTGGGAAGAAAAAACAAGGATGATGTTCCATACCTGACCTTACTTCATCTGACAGCATTAAACATCTTCACAGTAAGCTTTTCACTACTAAAATAGAGTTTTGGATTGTACATGAACAAAACAGTTTCTAAAGGGCTTCCAGTTATTCCCCTTCAGCATTTCTTCACGACCACAAATACATTTCAAGAAAATTTCTCTTGGAATAGGAATACTTGCCAGTTCTATTTTTCAGAAGTATCTTAACTGTAAAACAAGTATTATCAGAATTGGTTATTTCAAAGATCCTATAGTTCCTAATATTGTGTTTCTTAAACTAACAGTTTAAAGGTCTTTCAGATTGTAATTTTAATCACTCAGTGCCTTCACATTTGTCTTGAGTAAATTGATGCATGTCTTGAGTGAGTTTTGTCACTAGGATATAATAGCCTAGCCTTCTGACTTCTAATTTATTCTGCATTTCATAGTAACCACAAGGTGACTTTGGTTCTTTCATATTCCCAAATGAATAAAATAACAATCACGTCCTTAAAGTGAAATACTTGACACACAAGAGTAACTTGTTCCTTGCAGTCTTCCCCCGTCCAAAAAAAAAAGAAACACAAAAAACCCCACCATAACAAACAAACAAAACCAGCATAGTGATGTCTCTTAATTTCCCTTTTGACAGGGCAAAAAAGAACTTCAGGTCTCCTTGTTCCAGACACTGGTGCTGCTCATGTTTAATGAAGGAGAGGAGTTCAGTTTAGAGGAGATAAAGCAAGCCACTGGGATAGGTTGGTATTGAGAACAGCTGACTGCTTCCAAGTGTTCCTACTAAAAAACACCTAAACAACTTGTTTCTGCTTTAGAGGACGGAGAGCTGAGAAGGACACTTCAATCTCTGGCTTGCGGCAAAGCCAGAGTACTGACTAAAAGCCCTAAAGGCAAAGATGTGGAAGATGGTGATAAATTCACATGTAATGATGATTTCAGACATAAGCTCTTCAGGATAAAGATCAACCAAATTCAGATGAAAGAAACGGTATATTCTTCTTAATCCTCTGGGGTTTAGATCCTTGGGTTAAGTATCTTGGTGCCTGCCCATTTACAAGCTTTTTTTCCTCTCAGTTGTAACGTACATACTGGTATCTTTGAAGAAGTTAGACAAATAATTTGGATGATGGCACATATCTAAAAATGATGATTTAAATGTGTGCTTCCATGCTAACTTAGACCAGTAATGCTAGATGTCTCTCAATAAGATTGTTTAAGACAAGTTCCACTTAGTGAATGTTCTTTTCACCCTTGATCATTCCCTGGAGCTTTACTAAATGTTTGTGAGCAGAGAAACAAGTTCACAGTGGATTTTCCTGGGCAGCCATACAATGTAAAATCTGTGCCAAGATTTTAATTCCTTGTACGAGTGGATTTTTTAATAGACTGTCAGTCTTCATAGCTGTAAAGGATTTATGTCAAGATATTTGACAACAGATGCTTTGCTGTCTTAAAACGAGAATTGTCTTAGAGATACAAAGAAGAATTGTTTTAACAGTTCTAATGTTTTCTTTAAAACTTTTCTAAATGGAACCTTCAGGTAGAGGAACAGGCAAGCACTACAGAGAGAGTATTCCAGGACCGACAATACCAGATTGACGCTGCAATTGTACGAATCATGAAGATGCGCAAGACACTGAGTCATAACCTGCTTGTGTCAGAGGTCTACAACCAGCTTAAATTCCCAGTAAAGGTACAGTACTGATTTTTCTTGTTCTAAAACTTTATTGCTTCTTTGTATATTCCCTGGCCTCTTCTCAGTTAAACAGTGCTTCTGTTTAAAACATTCATCTTTTTACGATTAGGAAGGACAAATACTCAGTTTCTAGAATTTTTAAGTGCCAGTTGCATTCACTTATCTGAATATTACCTCAGGCTTTTTAGTAAGTTAATAAAACCTATTACCAAAGGCTTTGAGAACCAGTCTGTTAGCAGTAACTGTAAAGCTAGCTCTCCTTGTTCTTGCACCTAAGTCTTCGGGCAATACATTCTTGAGGACAAGGAGAAAATTAGTCAGATATGTAATGCAGAATTGGTTTTGATTCTTAATTTGGTTGATCAATCAATACATTCTGAACAGTGGCTTTTGCAGACAGATTGTATTAGTTTATATACATGCACACATACATATGGAGTGAAAATTACATATTGGTGAATTTCTCAAAGCTAAAGAAGCCTACAGTTGCAATATAAAACAAATAGCTTGCTTATTGTGTACAAATGCAAATAGGTTTTCAAATAGACAGCAACACATCGGTTTGAGTTCAAATATACAAGAGAAATGTAAAATAAAAGGTCATCTCATTCTGTTTTGCTACCACATGAAGTTCCTGCAGGTCTGCAAGTATTGCATAAACTGCAATTGGGCTTTTAGGGCTATAACAGATTATTTTCCCCACTCCTTTATCATGCAGCATTTTTATAAATCCTTCACCCAACAAAATCGTACAGCACCTAAACTGTCGAAGAACTCACTTGCGTCAAGATAAAGTGAAACTTGCACCATCTTTCACCATGTAAAACTCGGAAATAGAAACACTTTGGTACATAACGCATGGATTGCAGTTCCTTAAAGTAGGGTTCAGGTTAAAGAGCAGCAAATACCTTTTCCCTGCTGTAGAAGGTCTATGCTGTACTGCAGGTGACAAGCTAATTTTGTAAGTTTCTCTTCAATCGATCATATATTGCAGACTTCAGAAGCTTTGATGCTTTGAGAGGGTTTTTTTAAAATTATATTTCTGTTTCCTCAGCCATTGTAAACAGTGCGGCGATTTGGGTTAAGTAGAAAGAAAGAACTGAGAAACACTGACTGCAAACTAATAATGCTGACATCTACTTTATTTTACAGCCTGCTGACCTTAAGAAGAGAATAGAATCCTTAATTGACAGGGACTACATGGAAAGAGATAAAGAAAACCCGAATCAGTACAACTATATTGCATAAACATATGTTGGCCTTTGTTTTACTGCACACTTGGTGTCATACACAGTTGCCAGTGGATAAACTAGCCTGTTGATCCCGTTAATTGACTTTTTATACTACCGATGATTGAATGAAAGCAGTGTAATGGAAAAGTATAGTAGAGTGGACTTCTTTCAGTGGTTAACATGCCCGTTTAAAGAGTACTATTTACATTTTAAGAAGAATGCTGTTGAACTCTTTGCATGTTATTTAGTAAGATGTGCGGAAAGCTGAAAGAAAGTACCTGGTCTTTGTGATTCCATTTGTCTCTGGGTCTGACAAGAGGAGTCCCTTGATACATGACAGATGTCTTTCACACCTTTAAATGGAAACAGAAGGTTAATTAATATAAGAAAATAGCCTTTAAAATGCTTAAACTGCATGCAAACTCTTAATTTACTGTACAGAATGCATTTCAGTTAGTAACATACCATTGGTTTGGTTGATGCCCACACTTGGATTTTTCCCTTGAGGGAGGGAAAATGAGGGAATAAGCCAAGTTGTACTTATTGCTGATCTAATGGAAAATATTCGTGGTCGCATGTAAGACAAAATGGTACCAATATAAAATGTTGCATAAAGCTTGCAGTGTGGGCATATATACTGTATATACAAACACAATTCCTAAATAACTGCTACAACAAAAGAAGATCAGGTTAGATTTATATGGCTTGCCTATAAGACTTGGTGTTCACCTTTGGGAGTTTTAAGCATAAAACAGCCATAATGGAAAAAGTGACAGTTTTTACTAGTCATGGGTAGGAGGCCTTCACCTCTTGGCAGCAATACTCTAGAAAAGAGAATCTATTTACAGATACCTATGAAAAGCCACAGCGTTCTTGTGGTGAAGCTGTAAGAACAAAAATTACAGATGGATTTTAATACTTATTTTGCTTTGCAACCTTCTAAACTTGAACTAACCTCAAGGTTTAGACAGGGCAGCTCTTCTAAGCTTGCCCTGCTTTGGATTGCTTTAACTTAAAGCTTTAAGAACTCAGCCCTAGATGTGGCAGGCCTCCTAGAACCCAGAAGCCTACCTCTCATATAGCAAGTTAAGTATTGCTACAAGGCATCTAAAATATATTTTCTTAGCTAACCAGAGAGCAGTCTTTGCGTAAGACATGGGAGAATAAGTCACTTGAATGTAGAGCTTTGTTTCAACAAAATACTTTTTTTTTTTTTTTTTTAATTGGTATAGCAGCATGTGCCAGGAATATATGGAGAAAAAAAAGTGTCAGCAGAAAAGGTAACTCCTCCACGTAATAGTTCTTCCTTACCCAGCCAGGCTCTAGACGTATGATCAGCTGTGTTGCAGAGTACAATGAAAAACCTCATCCTCTTTCAGGCACTGATAGTCCTGGAAAATGCCAGATACTTCTTGAAAGCAAGATGTTGTTTTGTTTAATGGCAGTGTGACTTTGGTCTCTGTGATCTATAACTTCTATCACTGTGATCCCACATTCAGGGGTGTGCATGTCTGAGAGAGGAAGAGTGTGCGTGTATCTTGTATCTGACACATCCCATCCTTACTGCTTTTTTGATCTGCTGTTTAATTCTGTATTTTCTCCAGCTGTGTTTTCTCTCAAGCTCTTTTACATGCAGTCCTCAGCTGACAGATGAAGCAGATGGTTTTTTCTCCTACTAAGTTATTTGCTGACACCCTCTACTAACTGTCATACAGCTCTTTGTGATCTGCAGAAAATCTACCTTGTCCTTTGACACTCTTGCAGCATAACCACTGGTAGACATCCAGGACCACCCTTGCCTCTGTAAGAAAAATACAAGCAGTAGAATTATCTGGTAAGAAACTTGGAGACTGCTCCTGCAAATCTTTTAAGTATTAGTTCACATAGAGATTCACTGGGGGGAAAAGAACATCCCCACAAAAAAACCTACCTGTGTTTTGCATTCAGTGTTCCTTTTTCTTGTATGTGTTTTGTGTCTTTAGCCAATAAAAGATTCCTTAAAAAGGTGTCTTAGAGAAGGAGCATAAAACTTAACTCTTCAGGAGACAGGAAATGATGAACATAAGTATTGAACTGGTTCCATTCAGTCTTGTAGCATATAAATCTAACACCACTACATGTTTAAAATGCCTATTCTGGTAAAATCCTCCCTCATTAAGACAAGTGTGTTGCATTCAGTCAAACTAACTGGAAAGGTCTGAAAGTTTATTTGATTTTTAGCCCATCCATTTAGTATCTTAAATGCAGAAAACATTATGTAGAAAATGTTTTTAAATCTCATCACACTTCCACGATCTGAGGCAGACACTGAGTTAAAGCAACCCAAAGAACGGACTTTGAGAACCCTGGCTAGGCCAAGAGACGGAGTGAGAGAGTGGAGGGGAGAAGCTTCTCTCTCCTTCTTGTGTCTTCATGAATTTTCCCCAAGAACTTGTTCGTCTCTTCTGCTAAGGTCTCGCTCATTCCTGGTTAATGACAAAGCTGCAGCCAAGATTTATTGTCCAGCCGTTAAAACTCTGCAACTTCTTGCTGGGATCATGTGCCTGCCTATTGAGCCATATATATCTCTGTAAGAAAAAAAATTCAAGTGGGCTTGGACCACAGCTCATCTGGCTATAACACAGCTTGTCTGTTGGCCACACATTTTTAATCTTGACTCTTGCATGCAGTTTATAGCACCTTGTTCATAAGAAATTGCAGTTTATTCTTAGAAATATATATTTTAGGTTTTTTAATCTTTATACCCATAAATGGACTATTTTTTTGTCTTGGCTGGTTTAAAAGTGACCATTTTGTTTAAATGCTGTAATTGCAAATGTGTCGTAAATGTCGTTTTGTTCTATAGTTTACACAAAGGTGCCAAAGTAAATAGTTAATAAACAAAATCAAACCCTAGCAAATTAAGTTGCTTTAGCTGTTCTTCATATTTTGATCTCCGCCTTTTTTTTTTTTTTTTTTTTTTTCACCCTTTCATTTTTTCCTAGACATATCATTTGCCCTAATGCTTTCTTTAGGAAAAAAAAAAGTGCATCTAAAGAAACGTTCAAATACCACTTTTTTAGTGATTTCATATAGTAGGAAGAATATTTTCTTTGAAATGTTACACTAAAATTGTAAGAGTACAGCAGCATTCAAAAATGTAATATACTTTTTGTATAACAGTTCTTCAGAGTATGTCTGGAGTGGGGGGAAAAAAAAAAAACTAACCCTGTTACTTTTCAGAAGCCTCTTCCCTCAGCTACCAGAATATGAAAATTGTGCTTTTTCACTGCATCAAAAAGTTATAGTTTATGCAGACTTGCAAACAGGGCATGTATCACCATTGCATCCTTCGATGCAAAAAGCAGCAAAACCTTTTTTATGTTTCATAAGTCTGATATGGATACAGAGAGTCTTTCTTAAGTTGGTAAATAATGTAAATACATGTCCTTTCAGAGAGTGAGTCTGTTATCTAGGTATTTTGTGTCATTTAATAAATATTAAACAGTTTTGTGTTGATAAACCCATGTGTGTAAAATGCCTTCTTACTCCAAGTTCTGTATGTTGGGAATACTGATGTTTGTGGCTTCTTTAAATTCTTTAGCTTGTGTTTTGATAGCAAAATACTTGTTTGCTACTTAAATATAGTAATGAGTAGTTCCTTCTTCAGTCATTAAAATCCCTTGAGTTTTCTAAGTGGCTTCCATTCCTGAATGTTTTTAAATTTTTTTTTTACTGTCTTATTACAAGGTTATTGGAGGGGAAGGAAATAAGCATCCTTGCAAACTCTGAATTAGGGCTAGAATGTCTAAAAGTGCCAGAAATGGTACAAAATACCAAAGGTGGTGGCTCATTGCTTGTAGGCGAGGCTGCTGCCCTGCTGACAATTGTTCCTTGACTTTCGGTACAGCTGAGTAAATTTTTTTAATGGCTCTGGTGCAGTTACTGAAGTATAAAAGATGGGGATGGACAGGGAACTTGCTTCTGTTATTGATGATGGCCAAAGGGGCCATTTCACTTTGCTTCAGCCATTTGGAAATGCTGGACTAAATCTGGGCAGAATTTCTGGGATTTCTTCAGCCTGGCCTCTCCCAGTGCAGGCGCTCTGAGGACCTAGTGGAGAGGGGAGGCAGAGGGGTTCGCTTGCAGAGCTCAGGAGGGCTGGTTCGGAAACATGGAGAGCTGTGGCAGAGCCCGTGCTGATCCTCCAAACTGCTGCAGGGAGGCTGACCTTGCCCAGCTCTGCCGCAATTGCTGAGGGTTCCTGGTGCAGGGTGGTTTCAGGAGGAAGGGCAGATGCCTTCCACTGATACCCCTCCGCTGCTTGTTTTCTTTGTTACAGCTTGGTGGCATCTAAATGCATGGGATGGATTTTCCACTAACAATTTCTACTTAAAGAGAGTGTTTCTTTCTTGTTATATTCTCCACAATCCTACAGAATTTTGTTGTTAAAAATCCTACAGAAGCAGATGGATTTTTGGAGATTGATGTGGTTTTTTTCTACTCTCAGGAAAATACCAGAGAGTAGTAAATATTTCTAATTTCTGTTACTGTATGAAATGCAACATACATTACTGTATTTTTTTCTGATTTTGAAACTGGTGCCAAATCAAATTTAAGATAGTACCTTTGGATTTACCTTTTTTTATTTTCTTCCCCTTAAAGAGGCTAAGGCCTGTGGACATACTGTGGCATTTAGAAAATGAACAGTTCGAAAACTAAGTTGGACTTGAGAGACACTGGACTTTGTGCAGAGGTATCTTGTAAAATATGGGGTTGACTGGAAAGAGGAGCAATGGGTGTTGATCAGCCTACAACGGAGCAGGTTTTTCACCTGGTTGAGTAACTGCTTCCTGATACAAGATGATCTTTAAAATAACTTATAACTTGTCTTGCTGCTGCTTAAGGGAAATAAGTGTTAGGACATAAAAAAAAAAGTAACTTTGAAAGAAAATTTTCTAAAATTAGTAAGACCGTCACAGCACCATAAATAAGCCCCTTTTATTAAGCTTGGGAAAAAAGAGTTCACCTCCAGCAAATATTAAAATCGTATTGATTGTTACAGATTTATGCATGCTGGCCACCATAACAGGGTCTGACCCTAGGATCCTGCTGAGAATGCCAAGTCTGAGGGAAGGTTTCCAATTAGTCTTTTATTAGTTATCCATTTACACCCTGAGCTGGGTGCCTCCGGAGAAGGACCCCTACCCCAGTTCACGCCTCTCCATTGTGCCCATTCCACCCATCAGCCGATCACCAAGTCCCGTCACTCAGTTCTGGTCAGCGGTCTCTTGATTTCTTATTGGTATTCACTGTCTCTGAGCTGGCCACATTCCGAAGTTACTTCATTCTCTTGGAATTGTCTCCCTGGGTCCTTCATTCCGCTCGTATCTGCTGAATTCAGCCACTTCCTTGTTAGTTCTATCAAAAGTTTACACTTGGTCAGCTCCTGCGTCCTAAGGCTTCAGCTACTTCAGCTGCAAATGCTAAGCCACTAATGCTAAATGAGACTATTCAGAGAGGGGAATACAGTTAATCAAATTTCTTCTGTAACATTGATGGTAGTTCTTTAGTTTACTCCTTAAAATAGTCAGTTTTTTGTCACATTGAAACACTTGTATGTTACAACTGGAGGAAAATAAGGATGTCAGTAGGTACTCCTGTGTGAAAATCCCTAAGTAATCTTAACTTGGTTTTGCTATGGAGTTTTGTATCTTCAAAAAATCGAAGTCTAGAGGTTCTGTTCCATCTAACACTATTTTCAGTAATAAGGAAGTTGCAGTAACTGCTTCTCCAGTAGATTCAACATTTAGATGCTTTATGCAATTAAGGTGTGCAGAGGGTCAGGACTTTGGTAATGCCCAAGCCAGTGCAGGGCTCAAGGGTTGCCACGCTGAGTCACTGTGACACGACAAATAGAGGGGCAGGTAGTATGCAAGTAAATTGCATCTAAGATAATAAA